TATTTTCCAGAATCAAGCTGCGGTAACTATCTGTTATTGGAACTGGCAAGGATGAGTCATGATCCCAAATGATAGTCGTGCATGCATCGATGATACGCTCAACAGCGCCCTTGGTAAAAACCATCAGGTGTTCTCCTTGCGGGGTGACCTTAGAAAAGATGACAGACATCTTTTTGACGGTAGAATCAAAAGGAAACTCTGCCTTTTGGTGCCACACAGCACCTCTGCCTTTAGTCCATCGGTCGCGATTCCAGTTAAACCTCGAAGCAAAGACTTCGATAGCAATCTCAGTGGGTTCGCCTCGAGCATGCCACTCTCCATCGTCGGATTTATAAACATGCGACAAATTAGCCATAGATGCCACGTCTAAGAAGTCCTCTAGTTGACGGTTTCCCAGGATGAGGTCCTCTGGTTTCCCCACAGGCTCTCCTTCCTTTTCAACATCAAAGTGCGCAGGAGACACCGGAGTGAACGTTACGTTGCCGACAGTGGGGTTAAAGGGCTCATTAGATATGCCGACTGAGTAGGTGCCTTTCGAGGGAATCCAGGCCTTTTTAACAACCATCTTGCCCTGAGTCAAAGTACCTGTCTTATCAGAACAGATATCTGTCACTGCCCCAAGCGCCTCGAGAGAATCAAGCTTGCGAACAATAACATTCCGCTCCACCATGCGCTTCGTACCGACAGCCATGGTTATAGTAAGGACGACTACTAAGCACGCGGGAATCATACTGAGACCAGTTCCGACTGCATATAAGATAACTTCGTTGTTGTCACTAAAGAGATTGGCAGCCATTACAACGATAGCAAAGAGTACAGCGACTCCGAACAGTATAATGGCCAATTTTGACAGCTTCCTCTGCAGTGGAGTTCCAACATTGACACCAAGAAACCGACCGACAGCATCAGTACCCGTCAGCGTCCATGCCTGAACATACCAACGCTTCTTTGTCTCTCCGTTGGGTCCACGCTTCACCGGGCGCTTCTTACTGTTGCTATCTCGCAGTGCGGCAGCAATAGAACCGATCTCAGTGGACATACCGGTACTGAAAACTACACCACGCGCGCGACCGCGAGTGACGGTGCTAGAGCTATAAGCGATGTTCAGACGGTCTCCAGGGCCAGTATCCTCCTTAAATGTAGAATCATATTCCTTCTGGACTGGAAGGGACTCTCCCGTGAGCAGGGCCTCGTCTGTCTCGAAGTTCACAGCTTCGACTAATCTAGTATAGATAATTAATCATTAACCGATATTGAAACCACATAGACACATGGAAGATATACCTGATGTCTGCTGGAACTGTATCGCCTGTTCGCAATTCAACCATATCACCAGGAACGATCTCCACTGAAGGAACCGCGAAGGTCTGGCCGTCCCTAGACACTGTACCGGTAGGCGAGCTCAATGAATGTAATGATTCCATTGTTTTTTCGGCGGCATACTCCTGGAAGAAACCCACGATAATATTCAAAACGATAACAGCGGTGATAAATCCGCCCTCAATCCACGATTTGATACCGAAACTAACGGCCATGGCTAGTATTAAGACCTATAACGACGAATTGGATCAGACTCTGGGAGCTCTTATACAACGAAGAAGGGATCAAGGCAAAGAAAAGTGGGTCCCTTAACTAGCATCATTGCGTTGGCCACCTGGCGGATAAGAATTTTGATCACGGAGACTCCTTCACCTTCTTCCAACTTGTTGGGGCCATATTTGTGAAGACGTTGTTTGGCCTCCTCAGAGCTCAAGCCCTCTTCGAATTTGGTGCCTAGTTCGCTAATCACAACGTCATAGGGGAGAGTGTGGGCTGACCGGCTCAATGGGTATTCTCCAAGGCTAGCGCCAGGGTCCTTTTCGACCATTATAAAATATAATGTATTCGTTATGCCTCTCTGCCCAGTATGGATCCAAAATCGGAAACTGACCGCGTGGAAGAGTTAAAATAGTTCATCAAAGTGACCGAAGGCCCTTTTTAAGCCATCCCGGCCAGGTGAGAGCCTTTATCAGAGTCCACTCTTTAGCCTTTGTCTGGATTCAGAGCGAACCTTGGCTAAACATGGACGTCCACGGTCACTGGAGGGAAGTGCGGAACTTGGCGCCTAGAGACTACGCCAAGGATGTGGGTACTCTGAAAGTACACACCGGATTTGTTAACGTGGCAAATGGGGAATCTTGGCAGCATCAACCGGGTATCTACCTGACACAGTCCTACCTCTAGCCAACTGACTCGGCAATCAACAGTTATCACCTACCGGTGCGGTGAAAACAACAACAATTCGCTCGAGTGCCTTGAGCTTATCTTCTCTAGATGAAGGATACTTTCTAGCCTGCTATGGGGGTTCGCTAATCATCTCATTTTCTTGGTACATCCTCTCTGATCATTATTGATCAACGCTTAGTGAAAATTTTCAAATAAGTCAATAAATATTTTCATAAGGCAACAAAAGGTTCCAGCAACAACTTCTCAACTGGTATGCTTTCTTTGATATATTTATTAATGAGCTCCTGGACTTTACTATTTCCGTGCCACAAATATTCAGATAGGTGTCTCTGGAATGGAGAGCATACGTTTTTGTAGCAGCCATAATGCTAAGAAGTTAGCAACGCTGAATAGTAGCAGACATCTTATTTTTCCAATATTCGACAGCGGAGGAAAGACCCAGCCTTACTGGGCGATTCGTGGTTAACCATGCGTGGGGCTACAGTTAACCACTAAACTTGCCAAAGTGCACGTGATATGAGTCGAATGAGGTTTGTCTGATCCCGAAGAATCAATTCTTCCTGCTGTCAAATCTTCCTACCATTCTGGTTCCCTAGTCAAGGATATCGACGTAATTATGGCAGGTGGTTTCATTGCCTACCACGAGCCCGGGAGTATGTGTGGAGCACTTGATCTGTGGCCATATAGACCATGCGCTGATTGTATGCAGTTGTCGAAATCCTAACAATTATCTCATTTTTCTTTATTCTCTCTTTGGCAGAATGGCTTTCCTCGAAAATGATCCGTGCTGGCATCATAGGCCAGATTGCAGTTGGAATAATATATGGAAAGCCTCTGGCTGATATCCTTCCGGCGGAGTGGCAGAAAACCTTTCTCTCTCTCGGATACGTTGGCCTGATCCTTATTATCTTTGAAGGTACTATTTCCTCTTTACTGCGCGAAGCTTACCTTACTGATATCCGTACAGGAGGTCTTGGCGCCCGTATTGACCTGCTCAAGCAAAACTTTGTCCTCAGCATGGTCGGAGCGATTACAGGTGTTTGCTTTCCAATCGGTCTCTCCTATCTCCTACTTTATCTCGGATTTGGATACGGTAAGATTTCCTCTTCCGCGATGTTGACAAAGCTGACCTTTCTAAAGGCCCTGTGGAAACGTTCATTATTGGCGCAGCACTCTCTGCCACTTCTCTGGGTACCCTGCCTGCGATTGAATTCTGTTTTACGTGCTAATGTTTCAGGCACCACGTTTGCTGTTATATCATCGGCTTCAAGCACAATAAATCTTGCTCAGACTCGTGTTGGTTCTGTTCTTGTCAGTGCGGCTGTCATTGATGACGTGGTTGGCCTCGTGATGTCTAGGTCAGTCACCATATCATTTGTGACTTATCCCATCATCGAGAACTCATGTGCTAATTCTAAATATCAATAGCGTCATAGGGAATTTGCGTATGATCCAGGAGGACAGTGATATCAATCTTGGCTGGCTTATTGGCCGCCCTATAGTCGCCTCTGTAGGTATGGCTCTTGTCACTCCTATCGTCACCAAATTCTTCTTTGCACCCATGTTTCGGCGGCATATCGAATATCACTTTGCACGCTTCGACCATATATCGAATATCGTTCTCATGGTTTTGGCCCTGTCTGCATTCATCAGCATTGCTGCCTATACCGGGACATCGGTACTCTTTGGTTCCTTTCTTGCAGGCACATTTCTGTCGTATATACCAAGCAAGCACCCCGAGGGACCGTTCGTCGTGATGAGCCGTGAAGAGGGCGAGCGAGAGACTGATAAGAGTCCGACGTTTATTCACACATTCGAGCGCTACCTGTTGGATGTGCAAAAGTATCTCATGGAACCACTATTTTTCGCAAGTATGGGATTTGCAATACCCTTTGTGCAGCTTTGGACTGGGAAAAGGATATGGAGGGGCATCGTCTTTACACTTCTCATGATATTTGCGAAGGTAAGATTTACGGGTATTCGATCTTCCTTTGTTCTCTGCTCATACTTTACAGTTCATTGTTGGAATATGGATACCATTGTGGGATTGCGTATTTACCAGAAATGTACCAAAACGAAAAGCTGGTCCTATTGTACAAGGTTCTCCCGAGGGAGCGAACTGTGACCGCAACACGGGGAAATCCGACCGTGAGAGAACTTGGCTGTCCGGTCTGCTCTTGGGCTCTGCCATGGTTGCCCGTGGTGAAATTGGCCTATTAATCATTGAAATAGGCTATAACAATACGTCCTATGTAACCCAGGAGGGCCTCATCACGGGTGTATGGGCCATACTTCTTAATACGATTATCGGTCCAGTCATTGTCGGTCTGCTCGTCAAGTACTATGGCAAGCGGATAGCGGAGGGGCAATGGGGATTGCAAAACCACCCGGTGCCTAGCCTGGGACACTAGGCGAACAAGGATAAAAGTACAAAACAATGATCATCTCTAAAATTTGTTATGGTTTGTTTGATGATGTCTCGCTACGCTATGGATGGTCTGCTAGAAGTTAAAAGTGTATTCGGTTCTTGTTGGATCTTTATGTTTCTGTTGGTAACGTACTTGGAAGCGAGCCGCACCTGTAAGCCAGCCGCACCCCTCTGATTTCCATAGAAAATCGTCTCGTCTATTTTCAAACAACAATATCTCAACCAATCCAGCTTCTATCTGCTTGAAGGTTTATATATAGCTTAATATATACCGGAGTAATAATATACTAAATTAAGAGATCCTTTTAACTTTTAGTTACTAGATAAAGATACATTATAGCATATATTATAGTATATGGTCAGGATTTATATGTTCTCAGGCATCTTTTTTATTTATACTCAATTTACGTATAAAGAGTACCGATATTAATAAGATACTCTGATTTCGAACTAATATATTTAATAAAAGTTGAGATATTGTTGTTTGAAAATAGACGTTTTTCTATGGAAATCAGAGGGGTGCGGCTGGCTTACAGGTGTGGCTCGCTTTCCGAGTACGTTATCTGTAGCTGATTAATTTGGTAAGACCGACCAGCATATTCGCCAGTCTCGTCTCTAGTGGACTGAAATTGAGAGACCATGAATAGAGGCATTCAATATTCGCTTCCATCAGCTCATAGTTAACGAAACTTCTTTATTTATAAACATTGCAAGTACACAGGCTGAACAGGCTCCGACATTTGTTTGCCACATTAAGGTGATACAGTCCCTCATTGACATCCAATAATTTGCGGAACTTTTGCTGAATATCATTTCCGTGGATCGTTGCCTTACTAGGCAGCAGTTTTACTGGAAACCGCACCCCCCAGTCTCGAGCGGAGTCATAGGAGTCAGCTTGGCTCTGACCCCTGTTGTGGTTAGTCCATACTCTCGAACGAAAACATCCTCCTAGCCGCAACCACAGCTTAATCCATAATCCTACTACATATTAAATTCTCTCTGTTAACTGTAGCCTGCCTATATAAAAGTTTCATCCCTGGATGTTTGAGCTTATATAAACAGTATTGCTCGCTTCTGAGATAATTTCTTTCGTTTTGTCAACCGATGCTTATTAACGGGGACAAAAGGGCTTGCGAACCCTGTATCCGCGGCCACCGCGTCACGTCGTGCAATCATCGTGGTATGCTCAAGTCTGAATCAGATGACGTTTAGGCAATACTAAAAGATCCAGACCGCCCACTCTTGCGCATTAATAGAAAAGGCCGCCCCCCCTTAACCTGCTCGAAATGCAATAGTACGACTTGTGCAAGGCCAGAAGAGCACACTAAATACAGAACTGCTTCAAAAGTAGACGTGCACCAAATATACCCCAATAGACCCACCATATCAAAACACCGCACCCTAAGAGGGCAAAGAAATAATTATCAACAAAACACGGTCAGAAACTCACAATCCTCAGTGCTATACTAATGATGGGTTCTCCTGTCTCCTTCATAGAAATCTGCTACGCGATTGTTTCGCCAAAGTACCACTTCCTTCGTGCCGATCGCACCACGCCCAGCTTCCACGACAGGCCCAGCCGATGTTCAAGGCCGTACTGGCCATTATGCCGCGCCTAACGGCTCCGCAAGGCTGACCGCATCGAAGAAATCAACATCCGTAACTTCCTCTACATGGGCAGACTGTCACGACACATCTTACCAACAACCGCACTCCCAGCGAGTTGACTCCACGATCGACCCCAAACAGAACCAAAACGAACCTCCATATGCTCCAATGTTCTTACCACATCCTGCATTTTCGATGTATGATTTTAGTTTAGCTCCCGCCATGCCATTAAGTGTAATGAGTGCGGAATTCCTGGATTCCAGACCGGTAGGAGGATGGCATTCACGCACTTCTTCAGTTGGCTATCCGAACTCTCACGAATGAAGTGGCTTGGCTTTGGCTGGCTGGCGGTTCAGTTTAGCCCGCTAGAACATCGGCTTACGTATCGTTGGGATCCCTGGGGCAACAGCATACTCCTGACCAGTCAAGTCTGGGTTGTCTCGAAAGTAGAACTGGGCTATGAAAACTTCAATATTACAGATGAGCCATATGATTGTTGTATTTTATTCCCCACTCTAGTATGTGCTTCGTGCGTTTGGCGTACCGAGAATTGACAATCACTTACATCATCCAATATCGAGTGCATACTATAAGTAGAGTTCAGTTGGATGCTCGTGTAAGTGGGGTAGGTTTATCGCCAAGAACTGCCCGGGTTGCAATTTTGCCGATGCACTTTTGGGGGGAATTTATTCTTTATATGTTTTCTTAGGCCTTCCGTTTTCATCACTCCATGGAAAAATTTCTCATACGCCCGATTCATAATTTGCGTGTCTAAGGTACTGATTCTGTTACTCCTCGACCAAAATACATTTTGATCTTGTATCAAGTCTGTTCTCTTCCCCCGCAGCCTGACTGCTTTAACTGCCACATCCGCAAGGCTCGGCTGCCCTCCACCCAAATGATATTTCGCCTTGCGTACTACCGTGAATTCTTGGAATGCCGGGGTGTCTTCAGCCCATTTCACAGCTATACGCGATCTTACTTGAAGCCCTGACATTTAAACGGGAATCTAATAGCGATCCCAGCCAAGCACTGCTGACCCAAGATCCAATCATTCAGGAGGTACTGGAGCTAACTGAAGGTGAGATTTCAATGGCAAAGGACCCGAGCCGGAGGAAAGCTCCTCGGAAAAAGCGATTTGCACAGACCAATGGGGAACATTATCATCACTTGGATGCCCTAAACTTCAGGAAGTCCCTTTCGCAATGGGACAAGGTCAGAGGTTGGCTATGTCCTGGTAGGAACACCCAGCGGCGACAAACTGAAGCGGAGCATTGGATCGGGAATATTGGGGATGGAGAACACATTTGGGGTAATAGTGCAGGGATCATAGCCCAAAAATATGGGGAGATCTGCAGAATCACGGGCTCTGGCGCCTTCGGAGTGGTCCTGGTCCTGCATAAGACACGGATTTGTAACCACCCCATTGACCGCTACTATGCCTTGAAGGTCTTTCGTCACAAACCCGGTCAACCGTTGGCGGAGTATCAAAAGCGAGTGAGCGCGGAATTCTCGATTGCTTCCTCATTACAGCACCGGAATATTGTGCAAGCGTTCGAACTCCTCCCCATTGGTACTGATAACCTGTGTGAATGTATGGAGTATTGTTCTGGTGGAGATTTATATTCTCTCCTGGTTGTTTCTGGCCCCTTAGAGACGGCCGAGGCAGATTGCTTCTTCAAGCAGCTCATCCACGGTATCTGCTACATGCATGAAATGGGTGTCGCTCACCGTGATCTGAAGCCGGAGAATCTTCTCCTAAGTCGGCGTGGCTGTTTGAAAATTTCTGACTTCGGTAACGCGGAATGTTTCCGGTTCGCGTGGGAAAATCAAATACATATGTCGAGGCAGCGCTGCGGCACCGGGCCATATATTTCTCCCGAACAATACCACGACGAAGAGTTTGATCCTCGATCCGTTGATATCTGGTCGGCCGGTATTGTTTATGTAGCTATGAGGACGGGGAGGAATCCGTGGAAGACCGCAAATGAGACAGATGAATGTTTTAGGGACTATCTCGAAGACCGCCGGGTAGGTCTAGGGTACTTCTTGATTGAAGATATAGGCCATGTCAGGTTATCCACCACCCCTTTCGTGATATTTCCAGACCGTTAATTCTACAGATACAGGAGCGAAGCCGGGAAGTTCTATACTCTACGCTAGATCTTAATCCGCTGGGCCGGCCCACAGCAGCCGCAATTCTTACAACTCAGTGGTTAAAGGAAATCGCTTGTTGTGAAGCTGCTGGCTCGGGACTCCACGATCAGCTGCCTGGTCCAGGGAGTTTCCAAGCCTCCGAACAGCCTTCTGCGGCAGAACAGCTTTGCGCTGGCCGGGGAAGTGATTCTATACCAGTTACGAAGGGTATGAGGGACCACCTTGCGGATAGAATGCAGGGTATTTGAGGAAGAAATGGTAAGTATTTTAATTGGATGGATGAGTGGGGGGATTGACTGTAAATTGTGACACCTCGTATGAGCTGCCATGCCATGTCTCTTTTTAGAAGCTTTTAGTCAGATGGGCACGTCTGATATAAAATACTACAAGAGACTTTAGGGTGGGTAGCGGGGATATTACTGTAATCTGGGAAAATGGTCCTGTAATACCTGACTTATGATTAGACAGCATCGGGTTATTGGTCTGGTGTATACATGATTTCCAGAGGTGTTTTAGCGCATGCTCACTTCCCCATTTGGAGTTCCAGAAGTAGATTGGACCAACTTCGATTTTCTGGTCGTTCCACTGTTGTATATGCCAAGAAATTGGTAACAAAAGCATGCCCTATTTGTTGCGGGAGCCGCGGTTAAATGTAGCCTACGAGTGCAAGTATCTTGTTGCCTATCTTTCACCGACGGAAACAACAGAAAGCAGAGGGTAGTGTAAAAGCCTCTGTCCAGTGATTACGAGAATAATCTATCACACGGAAGCTGAATTTGGCACTTCTGCACAAATCGGAGCAAAGGGTGTGTAATGGGGTGAAAAGATCAGAATGCTCTTCCCATACCTTCTCGGCGGATTGGCCAACATAAATCCCGCATCCGATTCCGTCCAAGGTCGACTCCCGAGTATTTGAGAGGCAGTTGCTGCCACGAGTGACCTAGAAAACCCCTTGCATACATACCCCCGGGCAAGTACAGGGCGTGTGCGTCTTTGCCAGCATTCTTGCTCCCGCCAGCTATGTGGAAGCCGCACCTTAACTTTATCACGTTGCATTGCAAGTGCAAGGAACACAACCAGCAAAGAAAATTCACTTGCTAACTCCATCGAAACAGATGCATATATCATCTTTCTCAGCATTTTAGCCTTAGTCGTTGTCTATCCTCAGAGAAATTTGAGAGCGGTCGATGCCTACTTCTTTGGAGCCAGCGCTTCAACCGAGTCTGGGCTCAATACGTTCGTATCTCGCTTTCCCAAGCGCTATGCAGCGATCTGACTGACACTTGCAGCATCGACGTCAAGGAGCTCAAAATATATCAACAGGTGTATTTATACCTAATACCTACTCTCGGTAACCTTGGATTTATTAATATCCTGGTTGTTCTCGTTCGATTGCGTTGGTTCAAGAAGCGTTTTGAGGCTGCCGGTAAGACCACCCCATCTTGTTGCAAGTTGCAAACTGTGTTCACTGACTGAAACCGATCGTATTTGAATTAATGCAGCACCTGACCTCCTGGGATCCAAACCGCAAAATGTAGTCAATGACCCCGACCTTGAAGAGAAAACCGTTGGCGACCGACAAGATATGGTCAAGAGCCACAAGTCGTCGGAACAACCTATTGATTCGGATGGACAAGGTAACAGACGGCCTGTGTTGCCCTCACAAGGTTGCATCCCGGTCTTGAATAGGTAAGTAGGATTACGGTAGATGACCTTTGTTACCGAGGCCTTTATTCTAATGGGACTCGTCTACCTTGGCAACAGATCCCCAGACAACGTATCGGAGGGCCAACAGGTCAATGTGACCACTGTCGAACCGCTACGTGCGGCTACTGTATCTTTTGCAGAGCATGTAAACACAGATAGCAAAGCTCTATACATCCCCCCTCCCTGGGCGAGGGATAGAGGTATTTCGCAATTGGGGATTGACCTGGCTATAAAATGTTGCTGACAGATGCCCTTTTTCTGCAGGATTCCCTATCCTAGAAGTCTGCGACAGTGAATCAGGCGACCTAGGTAAGTGACTTTTTTCTAGGTAGGCAAATTGGCTGTCTAATATTGGTTTTCGATTGTGTAGATCTCGATAGAGCCAAATCTAGCACGGCAGATTCCCTGGCCTTGGACCCCTCTCGCCGATATTTGAAGCACAGACTCTATTCTACAACTATCCCATTGGAACGCATTGCTTCCAGGATGTTCACGATGGATCCAACCCCGAGTCACTGCCAACCGGCTCGGTCCTTATCGCGGACACCGCTCTCGAAGGATTTGGCTCTTCCCAACCTCTCTTCCAAGGCGACTGTGGGTCGGAACTCACAGTTCCACAACTTGACTGAAAGGGATAGAGAGTTATTGGGGGGGATTGAATACCGTAGCTTGAAGCTGTTGCTTAAGATTGTTACATGTAAGATATTTCTACTTATAACACGTATTGATCTGGAATGACACACCGCTAGCCTATTTTTTCGGACTCCATCTATTCGGCGCCATTTGCCTCGTGGCTTGGATCCAGCACGCTGATCCCAAATATCGGCAATATCTCGAAGAATGTGGGCAGGGTAATGTGTGGTGGTAAGTGAAAGTAGGACTGAAATACGGTTAGCCTGCTTACGCCTTTCGTTCTTTGCAGGGGATTCTATTCGGCGCAGACTATGGTAAACAACCTTGGATTTACACTCACTCCCGACTCGATGATATCTTTTCGTGAGGCTACATTCCCAATGATCCTCATGAGCTTCCTCGCTTACGCCGGAAATACATGTTATCCCTGTATGCTTCGACTTGTGATTTGGTTGATGCTCAAGCTCTGTCCAAAACAATGGTCGGCGAATGAGCCACTGACCTTTTTACTGAAGCATCCCCGTCGATGCTACACGCTTCTATTTCCAAGTCGGCCAACCTGGGCTCTCTTCGGTATCTTGTTTGCTATGAACTTTGTGGACATTCTGTTGATTTTAGTCCTCGACCTTAATAATCCCGAAGTTAACAGTCTTGCAACTGGTCCTCGGATACTAGCCGCAATATTCCAAGCGGCTTCTTCACGGCATACCGGAACATCGACCTTTAACTTAGCGGATGTAAATCCAGCAGTCCAATTCAGCTTGGTAGTCATGATGTATGTCGCAGTTTTTCCCATCGCAATAAGCGTCCGGGCGTCGAACACATATGAAGAAAGTTCCTTGGGGTTGTATCCTTTCGAGGTTGAAATCGATGAGAGGACAGGTAGATCCTATATTATGACTCATATTCGCAACCAGCTCACGTTCGATTTATGGTATATCTTCTTGGGAATATTCTGCATTTGTATTGCCGAGGCTGATAAGATCTCGGATACTTCGATTCCAGTTGGGACCCTCTTTCACTCCTGTGTCGGGATATAAGCTAACCAGCTCTAGGCTTTTGCTGTTTTTCCAGTTCTTTTCGAGGTAGTATCCGCCTAGTACGTATTACCCCCCTCCTTCCATTAAAAAAGTGCATTCTAATTCCTTCATAGTGGCAATGTGGGTCTCAGTCTAGGTTATCCAACAGTCAACACGTCACTGAGCGGACAGTTTACTACATTTAGCAAACTTGTGATATGTGCAATGATGGTACGAGGCCGCCATAGAATGCTACCGTACGAGCTAGATCGTGCTATACTACTTCCCAATGAGCGGCCCTCGAAAGATGACAGAGACGAGATATATCATTGGCCAGAAGTTGCGGGACCTGCGAAGCTCACTCGCTATCACACCAGCTAGGGACTGCTGGGATTATATTCCCACCTTATTTCGCACGTAAGGGTGTCTCGTGCACAAAAGCCATCATGTGTTCTAAATTAGGGCGGTTCTCCAAAGCGCAGTAGATTTCGCCCGATTATACGAGAAATTAAACATAGTATACAAAGTGCCAGAGGGATTCAATAACAAATCCTTTGCCTTGATTATATTAAGTGGAATATATGAATATTCTCACCACCAGCGGACCCAAGCCAGAGCCCACTGAAGCGGCTATTCTTTCTTCGCTTTCAAGAAGACTTGTGATGCAATCCCACTTAATGACACTAGGCGTACCTTGGTCGCAAGTTTCTGCATCGAAACGTAATAATGCGAAGACTAACTCAGCGTGTCTTACTTAACTTGTATCCTATCATACAAGGGCATCATTTCTTGCCAAGTGGGTATTTCGTACACTGTAAAGTAATTCGGCGAAACGAACCTACCCCTATTTCGGGACTTTCCTAACCCGAAAAGGAGCCCGAATGTCCATGACCAATTAGATTTCAACAGTGACATCTACAATGCCAAGATTATAGCTGAAAGCAGGTGAACTTCCATCCTTGGCAAGCACGAGGACCGTGATCAACTCCGTATTGGACAAACATAAGAGGTGATTTGAACCTTGAATTCTGTCATGTCCCAATACTTATAATCTTGAATCATCCTGGATAATTCCACTCCATTATTGTCTGTAAATATGTGACTGTCGCCCATTTATTCATGGGCGAATCTAACATGCTCCTCCTCACTTGGTCGCGAATTGCCTCGTCCCTACGAGCACTAAACCGAACTTGGCGCAGTCATGCGGGAGCAACCGACCCTACACGCGCGGAAAACCCCCTATTCGGTCGCCTGAGCGAAGTCGTTCGGTATACCTGGTATCTAGGATTCACATCGTTCGGGGGACCGCCTGTTCATTTCCAGATATTTCACGCGCGGTTTGTCGAGAAAGAAAAATGGGTCGATGAGCAGACGGTAGGTACTATTAATGTGAAAGGTATATTGTGGGGCTAATGGGTCTAGTACCAAGAACTCTTCGCCATATGTCAGGGTCTCCCAGGACCAGGGTCAACAAAAATGTTGTTTTGCTTGGCTTTGCTCCACGCGGGGTTTATCCCTGCCTTGCTTGCATTTTTCCTCTGGTCGTATGCGTACACTTTAAATTCAGCTCTTCTGATTCAGGATAATGAACTTACCAACCCACTAGTCTCCCGGGCGCAGTTGGCATGTATGCACTCTCTCTCGCCGTGCAACGGATTGATGAAACACTTCCTGCTCCAGTTTACGCTCTTCTCTCCGGCCTGAACGCCTCAACTGTAGGCATCATTGCTCTTGCTGCTGTCCAGCTAGCTGAAAAGGCCATCATTGATAAGATTTCCCGAATCCTGGTAATCTTTGGCGCATGTGCTGGCCTCTGTTACAGCGCTCTCTGGTACTTCCCTGTTCTTATGGTTGCTGGCGGTGTTGCTACTGCACTGTGGGATGGGCTTGTGTATCAGCAGATTTTGAGGGCAACGAATGCGTGGAAAAATAGAAATCGCCAGCCCGAACCAGAAGGTGATGCTCCCGATTCAGCAGGCTTGGAGCATATGGCTGCGAGAAATTTAAATCGAGGACCGGGACTGGAATTGCTGCGGATGAGAAAACCAGAGACAGGGGCTTTGCCACAACAATTAAAGAACGCCCAGGCCTCAGAAGGAAGGGAAGAGCCCCCGTCACAAGATCATGCGATTCGTATTCGTGTTGGAATTACAATTTTCGTTCTCTTTTTCAGTATGTCCCATTGTAGATTTGGAATGACGCTGTTCGTGCGCTAATCCAGAACTCGCAGCCTCCTTTATCGCCATACTTGTCTCAAGAGCGAAAATTTCACTACCCCCTTTGGCCCTCGATCTCTTCGCAAACATGTACCTCGCTGGCACTGTGATTTTTGGCGGGGGCCCAGTTGTCATCCCCTTGCTCCGTTCCTACGTTGTTGACCCAGGCTGGGTCTCCAGTCGAGACTTCTTAATCGGCCTCGCTATAATCCAGGCCTTCCCCGGACCAAACTTTAACTTTGCAGTTTTCCTCGGTGCACTCGCTCTTCGAAGCACATCCTACCCGACAGTCTTTGGTGCGTTCCTTGGTGGATTGGGAATATTCTTTCCTGGAATCGCACTCGCTATCGCGATTCAGTCCTTCTGGCGTGTTCTACGGAAGCGAAAGTATGTTATTGATTTCCTCCGCGGTGTTAATGCGTCGGCCGTAGGATTGGTCTTTACAGCTGTGTACCGGCTTTGGGAAATAGGGTATTTGAGTCCGGGGGAACTCGATGGGCAAAGTCTGGCGAAAGAGCCGTGGTGGGTTACTGTCGCCGCTGTTACTTATGCTGAGAGTGCGTGGTTCAAGGTTCCTCCTGCGGTCGCGATTTTGCTAGGTGCTGTGCTTGGGTTGTGTTGGTATGGAGTCGTTTCTCCTGCGTGGTGACGGATTGCTGATATTGTGGATATGCCCGAAAACTCCTCGGGAGCTGGGCATCAAGAGATTTCAACACTCTAATACAACTGAATGGATTGTGCAATATGAATATAAAAGATGTCGTTTTAGAAGAGAAAATTACTCCCCTTCAGAGCGAAAGTAGCACAGATTGCGGCTACGTATATAACTATCCATTCGGCCCTCGTGCTTGAACTCGGCCCCAAAATGAGGAGAAGGATAACTAGTCAATATTTTAAGCTAAATATATACAAAGAGAAACGGGTAATCATTAAGCCAGAGACTACAGTCACCTGAATGCCTATAGGTGAATATTATGCACTGTATTCTGATGGAACTTGTCTCGGGAGTGAGGGATAGAATCAACATTAGAACCAGGGTAGTCGGGCGTGCGACCCTTTCCGCTTTAGATTCCTGTGGAATGATTGGCTAGTCAGGTTTAGCAACTCTCGGTCTAATCAAGCAACATTTTGCAGTGGCCTCTCTCCCACAAGCCAATCAAAATTCCATTGATTATGCGTGGTACCATATTTTAAGCACCAGTCTAGTCATAATCTTAGGAATTCGCTCACTGCCACTTTAATATGCTCTTCTTAAAGCCAATAGACAATAGTGTCATTACAGACAGCCAACATAGGAGGTGAATAAAATAAGCCCTAGGGGTATGGTCACTGGTGGTAAGTTAGGATCTGCCAAACTAGCTACTGAAGCTGAGGAAAACAGGGATGCCTGAGAAGAGAGATGACGTTTTCGAACCTTCCTGATGTTCGTCTTTCAAGTCACAGTTTCCTATAACTCACTGCATGGGATTATTTGGGAGCATTCGATTCTATCCCCATTATGTACCACTGTATCGTCCGAAAACCACACAGGTCTCACTGACAGTTAGGTTTGTTGGTCGACATCCGATCTTCTGGAGTATTAATCGTCCCGCCGAGTACATGCGTCGCTAACCCGTTCATTCTTCGCCTTATCGTGCTCTCATTCTGTTCATCTTGTTAGATCCATCATGCTGTTACGTATATTTCGAATGAGATATTTTACTTTGTTAAATGAATATATCGTACGTTCAGGACAATGTAGACCTTGGGTTTAATTGCGAACTATTCCAGTTAATATGGGCTTCCTGTGTCCTGGACACAACCTTCCATAGCAGAATTTGTACTCTGTAGCCATCCTGATTTCACTTGAAAAGGCCATGCATTAACCAAGGATCAGATGAAAGCTCTTTTGCAGTGGGTCTTTCATCTGGTAGCCAACATAACATTCGTCGGAGAAAGCGTAAGAAGTCGCCCTTTTCATCACCTTGGAGCCTTTGTTCCAGAGCCTCGAGATTATAATCTGGAACGCGAGCTGCGCCTTTTCATTTACCTGATATAGGAATCGAAAAACTGTCAGTGTCAGGTTAAATCCACGCTTACAGAATTATTCATGAGTAAAGGACTGAACAAACCATTTTCATCCCAAAACTGGAGACTCCGTTCGCTCCCAGCGAGCAATTCAGGAGGGGCACCTCCTTAGACTTAATTCATGCAGAGTTGATTACAGTCAGCGCACCTTCCTCATCAATAATGCCGTGCTGACACTTACTACATTCAGGATCTGAAGATCCATGAAGAAATGATCAAGAGAGAGTTATCTGAGATACAAAGCCACCCCGAGCGCCGCAACATGATTTCAAGACATATCCTTCGGTTGAAAAGTATGATATACAAAACTGTTGATACCGAAGAACCCAAATCACCAGATACTCCTTTATAACAGCTAAATCACATCTTACGCTAGCCAGTGTATTGTCTACCAATGGATAAGAGCCACAAGCGGCAGCAGAAGATCGAGCACACGAGCAAGAAGAAGCAATCGAGGCGCAGGTGCCCCGCTCATGGCCATCACGGGAATCTGGTAATGATTGGAGGAAGCTTTCACGGATCATGAGGTCCAGCTATACAGTTTCTGGGATACGGAAATGTCTCAAAGGGCGTGCCTCTGTGTGTGCTAAGGATATGTCCATGACTGATGGTCTCTTCTTTGCCATCGCCAGTCCATATCCCATGCTTCAGCTTCAAGAAATATTCGGTGTCATGCGCAGAACTGACAAGGTCCTCCCTTTTGTAAAGCCTCGTACAATCGACACAGCCTTGAGGTTTCTTGACAAAGGGGAGAGCTCACAACTGGTGTCCCAGTTTGGGACCAGGTTTTACCTTGTGGCTCTTGGTCTTTATACAAAGAGAAGGAACGAATTACAGAATCACAACCCTCAAGTATTTACAGACAGTGAATCACTCAAAACCATTGTTACAGAGATATACCCCGATCTGGAACGAGGAAGCATAGCATTTCAGAAAGTGACGTGCAGCCTTCAAAACAAACTGTGCTCGGCTAGTAATTGAGGTAGAATGGCTAATCGATACGGCCCCGATCTTGTTTGTTTCATCCCTTGGGGAGGCGAGTTCGGAATATATCATAAAATGTATATCTCAAACACAAGAGGTTGTGTTTATAGGCTAACATTATAGACAGCGTTCAAAGGCTCCCGGAAAACGATTTTGATGATTTTCTTAACTTATTAGATGAGAAGCGAGGCTCTTTTCTACGCAAGTATACTAAAATGATACGACCAAGATTTCGGAGCCTCTTGAAATCACGCCCATCTACGCCACTGCAATTGGAGGTAACAGATTCGGCGATTATCAAGAGAAAGATGTTCGATTCCCAAAACTTACCTGATATTCTCAGACCCTGTGATAGCTCGGCAGAGTAGAGCCATGTGATTATAAATTGCCGTGTTTGTATATAGGGTTACTGTAAAGCTTGCATGAATGTGTTCTATTAGTGACAAATGATTCGTCAATCCATCTGCTTCAAGACCTAACTCAGAGTCAGGCCTACTGACGTGCCTATCGCGGCTTTCGTAGTAAGAATTCTCGTCTGCAAGTCATCGGTAGCACGACATCGATGCAATTAGTTGGTGTACTTATTATAGCCAAGCTTTTCAGCCAGCTTAAAAGGCTCAATCTCATCGTTCCAAAGTCATGGAGGGTGTTACTGCTCCGCCAAAGCCACAGTATACTTCCCATAAAATGTATCTCTCACGCTCTGTGATACACATGCCCGTCTGCTACATGTGACCGACGGTGCCTCAAGAAGATTAACATAAGGCATACACACATCTAGGAAGATGCTCTTGTTCCGCTGGTCCCCATGGGATGGTGGGCGGCAGGCCTAGGAATGTCCTAACTAGTATCTATGTCGTTAGTAATGTGAGAAGCGGGCAAATCGTAAAAGTAGCAAGGGACGACAGTAGAAGTCAAGGAAGAAATTGAAGACTCGGGATTCCCTGTTAGTAGCGGTAAGTTCGCGTGCGTGGAAGTAGACAGCCGCTTTCAGATTGGCAAGAAATCCCCTTTCCTTCGTGCCTACAATGGACTATGGGACTTGGATGCCGTAGGTATGTGGGTTGACTGGGCAATCATGAATCGGCTAATCATCTGATTGCTATTCTCGCCAGAAGATGCGTAAATAGTGACTTTGCGGGTCTCGAAGACCCCACAGTTTTGTCTGAACCAATCGCAGCCGAGGTGTTGCCCTGCAGCCCCTTCCTGTGTGACCCGCTCGGAGGGTGGCATTTCCACATCGGATTTACCTCTCCAGGTCGTATTGCGATGAAGGTAGACCACAGGTTCCCTCGAACGGCTATGCTTCGTGTTCCACTTGTGTTACAAGAACCGTCTAGCACGGTAAAGAAGGGTAGGGGAGTGGAAAGAAGTATAGTATAGGAGGGGGGTTGAAATTACACACACACACACACACACACACACAATTTATTAACGCCCGGCGGCTAAGCCGGAAGAGCAACTATCAGTAATCTACTGTACTGTACATGCCCTAATATACGCCGTGCCTCCTTAGAGCCCATACATGATTACTTTTAGCATATGTTATCCTATCTGTCAGTATCGTAGGGGATTCTTGTAGGTTGGTAAGTTTGTTAGTAGGCTGGCTTGAAGGCGTTTCTTCAAGTATTCAACATCCTATTCTCAGCAGTTGAAGCACGCCTACCGTCTCCGGCACAAGGTGGTTGGTATGATTTCGATCGGGAGGAGTGGGTGATTGGTGTTCGTCTATAGGGTCACGCGGCGTCGAGTCGGCCCGTGGCGATTGCAAACCGTATGGAGGCCTGTACCGCTTCAGTTTGGAGTCCAATTTTATTCATTTGATGGTGACTTTCCTCCCAGGAAGAAGGATATGTTGCCTCTGTGGGTGTTGGTACATGCAGCATTTCGGCCCGGTGTGCCATCCATTTCTGACACCGAAAGAGGAAGTGCTCTATGATCTCTCTTGCTTGTCCACATGTACATTGATATGTCTGCGCAACATTGATTCGGTAGAGGTACCCATTTAGTCTTGCGTACTTTGTCTTGCTGTGGTCGTTAACTGGAGATTTCGAATTTTAGCTCTAACCACGCCCTGATTAGATCAGTAATTAATCAACAATCCACTAGTCCTTCCAACCAAGCCTCTTCGCCACAAACTTAACCGCATACACAAGCTCCAACAAAACTGGAACCTCAATAAGCGGCCCAACAGTCGAAGCAAGTGCCTGATTACTTTCTGCCCCGAAAGTAGCAACAGCAACAGCAATCGCCAACTCAAAATTATTACTAGCAGCAGTAAAGCTACCATTGGGTCCCGCTAACCTTTAAAAATGGATGCTGAGGGTTTGATTAGCAGTGAACCTAAGCCATGTATTCATTAATTTTATCTGAAGAAGGGCTTTTGCCATTGCTGTAGGTGGAGCACCTGCAAAATCTTCGGCAAGAAGGCCGAAGATACCCCATACATCAACAGTTTCCTCTACTCTAAGACTCCGGGCAATGTGGCAAACAACCTGGATATCCCTAGATTTACGTAAAGGATCAGGCTTTTGCAGTATGCTGTTGCCAACGCCCGCTGCCAAGGTTAGCCTCAACTCACAAGTTGTGGGGAAACGGATACGTACCAATTTCCACCTCTCCTTGTATTAATCTGATAAATCGCAGCAGGCCAGATCAAAAGAGGCCACGATCGTTGGTGACCCTTTGATTGTTAAAAAGATGATTGATTATCTCTATCGTGAGGACTATGATGACACTCCCGAGCTCACCATCGAAGAACAAAACCGAAGCTCCCCGGAGCAAGTGGGTACCACCGGTATGGAAGGCAAGATATTAGAAACGAAGGTCATGATTGGTGAACACAATGATCCCACAATCTCTACCTGGAGCACTGAACAAACCAAGTCACATATCAATTCATATTGTTGCCGACAGATACGCCATCAATGGACTTATGGACCTCGTTAAGAAAAAGATTAGAGTTAATCTAGCCATCAGTGGAAAGACGCTTCCTTTATTCAACTTGTTAAGTATGTCTATGGGCCGCATGGTCCTGCAAATTCAAATTTGCAGGATACAGTAGCAACATTTACCAGCCGACATATTTCTACTTTCAAAGAATTTCAAAGCTTTCACGAAATCTGCAAGAAGTCCCCTCGTTTTGTCACAAATTCTCAACTTTGTTGATGGAAAGGGTGGTACAACTGGAGACGGAATTATGGTAGGCCGCTACGTTTTCCTAAGCCTCCTAGCCGCGAAACTGAACGAGCGTGTCTGTCAGTAGTAGAAAATCTACTAATCTGGTTGTAGGGTAGGTTTTTGCCAGCCTTGGACGGTACATATGTGAAAGCCCTCCCCGATCTAGTCGTCGCAGCCGCCCCTGCCAAAATACCTATTGCAGTGACTGCTGAAAATCTTTTAGCCACAGGACAGGAGTGGACTTCAGCAACATGACACTGGAAGGCATCGTTGGTGTACTGACTGTGAAGAACGTTTCTCGTCACCTCAAAAGGCTCGAAGACATCGCTCAGCGTATCATGATGGCTACTAGAGAAAATTTCAATGAAATATCCAAAACGTTTCTTAACTATCTCTGCCCTACTCAAAGGCAGGGCGGACCCTGTTCCTTGTTAAGGTGTCAGATTAAAGTAATAAGTAGTCCAAATGCAGTGGATAACATATTGGGGGCGTGAGTTAATTCTCTCATGATGATAAGGATTCATGTTGGTATAACAGGAGTAAATTCGTTAAGTCTAAGTAAAAGAATCCATTGTAGAATTAATGGAAAATCGGTCTTTCAAGTACACGCCAACTCGTAGCAACAATTCCTTAAACCCCAGGTTGCTTGCATTCAACTTCGGGGTCGCACAAACAATGCATTCGCCCGAATAGCGTCAATGAACTCACCCTCCACTTTCCCAGGGATCTTGATGGACGCCGTGAGGTAGACTTTACGCCCTTCGACTCTCTCTGGCCATGCACGCAGGCGAATCGGAACATCTGGTGGAACAGACTGCGCAAAAGACGTGTTGAGGTATGCTGTGACCGCAGGCCGGCAGCAGTCTGCAAGGATACGGTCTAAGAGCAAGGCGAGGTATCCGCCAAACATTTTTCCATCATAGTAACACATCTGCTGCCGCGGGGTCAATTTTATGACAGCGTCTGCTTCCATCCCCAGAGGATGACGCCGGAAGGTAGGGTTATAGCCTTGCAGTAGAGAACGGAGCAGTTCTTGCGAAGGCTCTACCGACAGTTCCTGTCGAGAATATCCCTGAGTCAGTACTGAACACGGTTGCAGTTTTATGGGAACATACGGGTACTCTCTTTGGGATACCCTTTACTCCATCATATACAATGCTAGTCTTGTAGGGTAGAGCTTGGCCTTGATATCCGTGTACCGTCTGAGAAGTCACCCGAGCCGCAAAGTGTCGAGACATTTTTGTTAAGGGTTTTGTAGGTAAGGCTTAATTCAACATAAGATAGAACGAAACCAGTAATATGATGGCCCCAAAAAGAGGAGTGGGATACACGACAGTAGCTACTTATATGTTGATGTCTCTCCTCTAGAATCCTTTCTGCCCAAGAACTGTATACTACCATATTTCGCCATATTGCGTGTCACTGTTGAAAACAACTCGAAAGTGTATGCAAAGAAGGTGGAATTTTTGATTGGGTAGACGCTGATCTGCGAGCCGATTTGGGGTCGCACGACCCGGCCCCCTGTCTCCACTATTTGGTTGCGACCCCATTTCGGTATGGCAAGCACACAGAGGGCGATCATAACCATATAGCTAACCCGACTATTATGATCTAAGTTTGTCTGGGGACAAGCTTAAGGAATTTAGAAAAAAGAGAATTTTCCTATTTTTTTAGTTTTCTTGTAAGTAGCATACGAACTATACTAGATGCTGCTGATTTCTTTTTCGTTCCCCCCTCCCTCTTCTTTTCTTTCTTTTCGTCTTTAAGACTCCCGGGGTTCGGTTATTTATACGGTAGAACTAACTATACCTAGTACTGGAAAGGCTTGTTCTTCTAGGTATTACAGTAATATGATCTTTTCCCACTCTAAATCTTGATGGGGGGAAGAAACAGTAAAGTGTCGTGTAATGTATTATATAGGTACATATATATTTTATAATGTACTATGCTTAGTGTGAAAGCTTTCAGTGCGATACTATGACTGCCTCAGGATGACAGTCGAGAGGACAACAGTCAAAAGGGCATCAACACCGCGCCTCCATATCACACCCCTTGGGTACTTATTATCTGGTCCATTTGTTCTGAATCTAATCCTGAATGCAATTTGCAGACACCCAGTAAGACCCGTGACTTGAACATTATAGTCGGCAAAGCAGGCCTCAAGCAAGGATAACCCCATTGTGACCAATCAACCCGTAACTAATGGTACTGCATGTGTTCATTCAACTGATAGCCTTGATTGCGCATCTCTTCTTGGTTATTTTTAACCTCACTCTCCTGCTGAACCAAAACGCAGCAGGGACAGCAGAAGGGCCCGAGGCAATCTCCATACTCTGAGCCTAGGATTTGAAGCCGCTTGCGTACCATATGTCGCTTTTTCATTAGTAGTACCCAGTGTAAGCCACAGAGGCCAAGGCATGCGAGTAGGCAGCGCTGATTTCTGTATTAGCTGACTAGAAGAAAGCTATGCTGTAAAGATATACTTTACATTTCCATTACACCCACGGCAGAAATCTTCTCCGTCTGCTTCAAGATTCTCTAGCCGAGATAGAGTATTTCCGAATATCCAGCATGGCAGAAAGCTCGCGCATATACCTGTAGTGCAAATCAGCAGCTGTTATAGAGATATATGTCACGTACATGTGCCGGTGTCAGCGCAACAATCGTCAAAAAACCTGTAGGACCATTGTCTCTCTCCCGTGTTCCTAGGATCCATACCGTGGGGCAAGGTTCGCAGATTATAGCGGCTATATTCGATATAAAGAAAAGGCGACTTAGGGAAGTTCAAGTACACTGGTCTTACGTGATTGCGTACCCAGTGTTCGACCGGAAAGTCCTACCTTTATAATCTCTGTAAAGCACTATTGATCTATCATGACTATACGACAGCACACCAGCGTCTTTATGTAGCCTGGAATGTTTGCTGCGAGCCCCTTTAGTGAATGCAGGCCAGTGTCTTTTGTCTAGATTTCGAATAAAATAAAAGATATACATAAAATCTCCACTTCTGTTAGCTAATTTCTCTATTTTGTTGTATCTTCTTTGCCTTTCCCTACCCTAGCTACAATGTTCAGCAAGCCAAGAATCCCAGGAGGGCTACAATCAGCTCCCAAAAAAGGACATCTTTCTGATGTTCAGAAGTACCTTGATGAAGGGATTAGTCCCAACCTCTGTAACAAGAAGAACAAGCAGGGTCAGGAGAGACCACTGCTGGTATTTGCTGCTATCAATGATCATGTACACATCATTGAGCTCCTTCTAAAATATGGCGCCAAAGTTGATAATATTGACACTTATGGCCGAACTGCACTCTCCTGGGCAGCTGAGTATGGTGCACTTGATGCTTTGAAGCTACTTACTGAGCATGGTGCAAACATAAATGCCGAAGACAAAGAGTGGACAACGCCACTTGCATGGGTAGCTCATGCAGGCACAGGGGACACACAGGCAGTGCATGACTATCTTATACCTAACAGAGCTAAGATAGAAATGCATCACTCATTTTTGGAAATATTGAAGCATTCGCTTGCCGCAAAGTGCAACTGGGCACTGTTTAGACTGAAAGGTAAGAGCTTTTAATAAGTCATTATCCACTATTTACACTAACCTAAAGCTAGGCAGAGTTACAAACCAATAGTTTTAGATAAAATAGCATCCTATATCCATTAAATTATTCTTCTTGTTGTTGTTCATTGGACCAGACTATAACCTGTGATAGTATATATTCCGAACTGTCTAAGATTAGTAGAGTTCTACCTCGTTACTTAACCAAGAACAGGGGTTTGTCGGATGATTACAAGAATATGTTAGTCATAGGGTCAAGGGCATTTACGATCCCATTTCAGTACGGCAGACCCACTTATGAGAGGTTCCTAACTATATGGACCCTCGCCTCATTAAGCGAGACTCTATATGATGTTCTGATTAAGTGAGAAGCTCTTGTTTCTCTCTATGAAGCGGCGTTAATCCCTGGAATTATTTGGTATGTGCTCAGGCGACAACCTTGCACCCACTGCGGCACCAAAATGGTGCGGTACCCACCCGGAGTCTCGGCCAGGTCAACTAGGCCCACAACCTATCGCAATAAAAGCGTCGGTTAGGTCCACTGAACGTTGTAGTGTTTTTGAGCCATGTAATTTCGTCTTCTGGTGAAATTTATGTGCTGAACTGGAAGAGGGAACATACTCGCTTACTGTACCATGTAATCCGCTTGGGGCCAACATGCCTTATGATAAAGATTTGGACCAGTTGCCACATATTACGCATTTTCTCATATCTATTATATACTGTATAACGGCGAATTTGCCGCTATATTCTTTGGCCTCTTCCATATCACAATCGAACTAGTCTATTCAACACAATAGTGTAATATTTCAATACCCCCGGCGTCAGTTGCACTTGCTCAATAACACCCTTGTTGGCCGTGATGCACAACCTTCCACGCGCTTCAGATCTGTAACCACCCTCATTGCTTTCCAGCCCTTCTCCGCACTACCTGCAAGTTGGAGTATACCAGATTCCTCTCAGATATACAAGTCCATACTGAAAGTCGCCTCGATTTGGTGGACAGACCGATCAGTCCCGCTGCCAGATTGGATTTCTGTCCGAGACGTCGGATGCTCCCCTCTTAGCTGTATCCTCCCCACCTGACTTAAATTTCTGGCAATAAATGATTTCATTTCATTCAGCCCAGAAACAGTTCGGTATTCGTCGGAAAAACATAAAATATCATGCCAGGGACTGCCATTCAAAAACAATTGCCGCACCTTAGAGTCCAATGCACAAGATGCCGTATTTAAAAATGCAATGATATTCTGTTTGATGCTCAACAAGCAATTGAACCATGCATTGGTCATTGTCTCTGAGTCATGCAAGCAAATCGCCGTAGAGAGAGACATTGTCAGGTTTGATCACTTATTAGGCGTCGACGGCATGACAGCCCGGCGGAAATGATCAGAATATAGAGAGAGTATAAATGAGCTATAACGCAAGAGCTGGACTCAATTATTTCTCGAACAATAGTCACTTGGTGAAGCAAATCGAAAAAACATTTAATTATATACGTACCACGTACCAAGGGAACCATAAATAATCAGTAGTGGAGTGTATTGCCAAGATCGTATCCTTTGCTACTCTCAGATCCATGACGCTACTCAAGGGTGGACTCAGAGGTCAGCCTAACAATTAGCGCCTGCGGCCCCATTTTAGCACGGCAGATCCACTATATACCTGATGTTGTCATGGGAAGGAGAGCAATGCGCTGTTGTAAGTTTAACCTTTCACCGTGACATTGTGATTGTTGAAAGGCGATCAAATTCTATTGAAATGTTACCTTGTGCATCCCCTCCTTGGTTCTATAAATGTCTTCTGGGATCCCTATTCGCTTTCGCACTACTTTTGAATCTTATCCCTCTTTCGAAAAAATATCAATACTCTGCCCTTCCTACGCGCATTTGTCTTCTATCATGGTGCGGACTGTTGACCTTTGTTTACCGGTAAGCGTGGATACATCACTCAACCATGCCGACTACGCAGAAACTAAACGCTATTTGGTCAGATATTGAGCGGTGATGATGATCAGGAGGAAAAAGGTGTTGATCAATTTTCAATGAAAGATGAATTGGAGTCGCTACAACAGGACGACTTTGATGTAGGTAATCTATGCTACTATACGCAGCTCCGGCGACTCATCTTTTCTCAGGCAGTCAGAGAGCTCCTTCGTGCTTTACGAGTATTGAAAAAACGCGGCATCGCACAGAGAGTTGCCATTGCCGCGTACGTATCTGGATGCGCACGTGATACCTCTTGGATGGTTCAGGGTCATGATGAAGGTTTCAAAGTAGAGATACCAACAGACAAATGGTACGGGGTGTGTGAGATGATGGTGAAAGAGGGCTTTCTTAAGGCCAAAAATCTCGCAACAGAGCTAGAGGACGATCGAACTAATGCTACGTTGTGTCCAGAGTCTGCTTAGCAACTCTGTGAAGCCAAGAGATTGTTGCAGTGTTGTTTTTATATGTAGCTTTGGGGTCAACAATTGATAGTACTTTACAGTACATTTCCCGTCTTCTGGGAAACCTTTTCCAAAATTAGAGATTGTTAAGTTTATAGTTACCTCCGCTTCCCACCTCTTATCCAGTAGCCAAAAGTAGTAGGTTATTATATCTCAGCTGTGTATCTGATCTGTTGATGGTTGAGGTCAATGTTTAAAATGTGACTTCCATGATACGTAGGACTCAATGCATTACACATTGATGACACGCGTTATAACCGTTCATCCTTTATTTATAAAACTATGTATATCTGAGCAGAATATATTGGTCGAAATTGTTTACTACTTAAGAAAGATAACCCTCCAGATATTTTGCAACCGTTCAATCAGAGCATCTCTTTCGCCGCCTGATGGTTAGCTCATAGCGTGACACTCTGTCTTTGGCAACAAAGGGGGGGGGATCAACAATCCCATTCCTATGGTATCGGTCTCAGAATAAACAGTATTCGTCCCCATTTCATGCTGCCAACTTCTTTCTAATAGCTTTTATATAGAAGATAACAAGCAGAAAGGTGTCTACCTAATCCAAGGAATAGAACCGTATTTGCGAAAAGTCTAAAAGACCCATGCCCGGATTGGCATTTCGACTCATTAGGCAGACCAGATCTATGGAAAAACAGTTGTGGATCCGCAAACTATTGGGGGCCGCACTCGGGGGTGTCCATGTCACATTCCTGAAAGACATTTGCGGCTCCAGTTTGGTATGGCAGACCCACTCCGGGTAGTGGGTGCTAGGTCACCATCTACAACCTGCCAAGCCGCCTGCTCATGCCGTAGCAGTGTTGAAGTATTATAAATACTGGAGTATTGTGCTAAGTTATTGTTTGTCGATGATTTGTCGAGGTTCGTAACTTGAGCTTATATGGTATGACTTGACTGTGTTCGGCTATATCTTCATTGCAGGACTACCTCAGGACCTATTTAATACGCTCTAATCTTTTCTCTGTTCAAATTGTGACGTCGTTTCACCAAACCCTTTCGAACCAATATTCCTTCAATTCAAGATATTGGTAATATTTTTCTGATTCGCAGCAAGGAATATCTTCGGATTTAAGGTACAGATCCAAGCGCAAAGATTGATATTGCTTATGTCCGCTAACTAATACTTAGGATGCTGGGAACTATCTTTTGGGACTGTTTATGCTGCAAGGGGAAGAGTGACCCCTGCACTCGGGAGCTTTCATTTGTTCCCTACGGCCCAGGCGCTGCCCTGGAAGCCACCCTGTCATATATCCCGTCCGCCAAAAGTCGGGTTAAGATGATCACGTTATGTGAAGATTGCAGCGAGGGATTCACCGAAGATGAGCAAATGAATCGTATAATTCATCTGACCAGCCAATCAAATCCAGAAGTTCCTGCAGTACTATGGAAGGATCAGGAATGGAACGTCTGCTGCACTCTCGCGGAATGTGAGAGAATTATGATGGGCGGGAAAACGGTCAAGCTTCATGTATATTGTTTTGTTCGTTTGAGTTCGGAATGACCAGTCTTCTTGTGCTAGTAATATATTCAAGGCATTACCTTGGTTGATGGTGCAAGGGAACATTGATACCTCGAATGTATTAATGCGAATTTCTGTATTGATTGTCAGATACATGATATTCTGAGATGGAGGAATATCCTATATGCTAGCTTGTCTTTCAAATCGCACGGTATGCTTCCTGGACTTGATTAACTTTCTAATAACGTAGAATATATGCAGAACAAGACACAGGTGTAGTTTGGCACTGCGTAGAGGGTTTGTTTAGAAGGCGCAGGTAAAAGTCAGCTCCTTGACTATATTCAGTGAAGTGTAATGTATTAAATTTTGAGCCTTACGGGTCTGGCAGAGACCAACTTTTCAATTTCCATTTTAGCTCAGAATGCAGATTGCTGTTTAATGTACGGGATTGTACTTTATTCACAGAAGTGTGTGTAGAGTGACCGCTGGGAATTGTTAAACTGCGATAGATACATCAAAAACCCACAAAAGGCCAGCCCAGCATAAAGATACCCACATTATTATATACGTATTTCAACCCTCCTCTTGACAAAATTGTATTATCCAGTGTTATTGTCCGCCGTCTCGATTGCCTTATACTGTGAGATGCTGTTTGGTATGGAGACTGCCGGGCGATGCCCATGGCCTCAGGGACTGACTCGCTGGAAGCCTGCCTTCGTCTCCATTTCATGTTCTTGCTTAATTTTGACGAGCTTCCCAAAACGGTAAATGATAAGCAGGGTTAAGGAACCGGAAGCAGAGAGTCCTGTGACGATTGTCGTCAGGAGTGCCATGATAGACCACTCACCCTCCCGTGCAGTGTAGATATTGACAAGAGTTGTGACCAATCCAGCCAAAGCACTAAGAAGGGTTGGCCTTGTCAACATATTAGCTGTTGTTTCTTAGTGTTTTGCAAATATGTCCCTTACATAAACAACTTATTAATTAGCCAGATATAGTTGTTTCTCCGCTCCCATGATAGCCAGAACATCAGTAAAGCTCCCAGCACCATGAGGAAACATGCAATCGCAAGCAGGGGAGGATTCTGTATTGTATTTAGGATGATCTGACCAGCTTCCGTTTTTTTCAGGTCTTCATTCAACGTTAGAGACTTCTGCATTGAAGTGAAGGTGCCGGGTACCACCAGGTACCCTGCAAGTAATGCCCAGTGCGCAGCATCAGCAAGGATATTGTAAAACCATGGGATATCCTCGATGAGCATTTGTATGTAGCGGGTTTCGATGGTATAAGTTGTATCGCTCCGGTGCAAGGCTGTGCCCTTTTCCACATTATCGGTCACGGGGGAGGGTTCCATCTTGCTAGAAGAATTGAGTGATTGTTGAAGGTGCCTGGAAACTTCCACTCCTGTAGCCACATTGTAGCTCTTTTATATCTGGGCGGATCTACTCAGGTGAGCCGAGGGTGGACCCTATGACAATAAACCATTAGGCTTTTTCTGTTTTCCAAATGGTGCGACACAAACTTTTCCGATAGATGGCCCTTGTGGACCAAAACGGCGTATGTACATGAATCAACTAGCTATGCTATTTGGTTGTTCCTGTCATTCTCTCCTTTTGACCGAAGACTTTATATGGTTCAGTGCGCACTTTATAACTCATAGCCATTTTGAAAACCACAGGTTAGAAGCATATTGAGAAATGCGAGAGTTATCTAGCTCGGTTTTGAACACATTTTAGAAAAAGAATTTGATTGACTATTCTCCATTTAATTTACCCTTCATCTACAAAGGTTAGATCTTGTATATGAAAAGCTAGGTCAAGTACTCTCTACTTCATATTTCCTTTCTCGGGCAATCTTGCAGAGGATATGAAGCGGGCGAAGGCACCATTGAGTTGCGCTAACCTCTAAAAATGGATGCTTCGGATTTGATTAGCAGTGAATCAAACTACTTGTTCATTATCTCTTACCTGAAGAAGACCTTTCGCTGTCGTTGCTGGGGGAGCACCGGCAAAATCTTGGGCCAGAAGCCCAGCAGTGCCGCGCACATCGACAGCTTCCTCGACTCTGAGAAGTTTGCGGGCTATGTGGCAGACAGCCTGGATATCCTTAGCTTTACCTAGAGGATCGGGCTTCTGGAGTATGCTGTTCCCAATGCCCGCTGTCAAGATTAGTCCAAAACCACAAGTTAAGGGAAGAGACAGATACATACCAATTCGCACCTCGCCTTGTTCATTAATAAGAATATCTGAACATGTCAGATTCCCGTAGCAAATATCCACTTGCTCGTGGATATACCTTAGTCCTTGGAGAATCTGCAAAAGATTAGCTCAGGGCTAGGTTTGAT